ATAGCGGAATTAGTAGGTATCGGCCTAGTGTGCTTAACTTAGTATAATAGGCCGTATAGAAGGCCTTGCTTAATAATTGGTACGGTTGTTTTTAGTAGAATAGTACGTATAGGTCCTATTCTTCGGGTATAATATAGTTAAATCGATAGTTTTCGTAGCTATACCGCTAAAAGCTTAAAATAAGGACTATATAGCTACTGCCTTTAAAGGGTAGATCGAATACTATATAAGAAGGGTTATATTAGTAGGTAGATAGGGTAGTAGTAGGTATAGGTAGTATTCGATAGAGAGCTAGGAGGAGAGGGAGGAAGGTAGGCTAGTTAGCCTAATACTAAGCGCTAAGCCTAGCCTAAGGCACTAAGACCCTAGCTTTACTTAGCCTAGTTATATACTAATTACGTATAGCCCCTTTAGCCCTAATATAACTATAGTCGCTATATATATATATATATAAATAGCGGTATTTAACGCTATTCTTATTCTTTTTTAGCTTCTACTCCTTAAACTCGTATCCCTCTAATATACTAAATTCCTAGATATAGCGCTTAAGGGCTCGTATAGATAGAAACGTCGACTCCCGCGGCATTAGACCTCGTAGTAGCGAGGGCGCTTCTTCTAGTAGTTTCGTAGTAAACGTATACTTCTAAAAGCGCGGTAATACTAATCGATATTTAGTTAGATATACGCTCTCGAGGTAGATTAAGTAAGCGACTACGCCCTCGAATATGCGTTTCTAAGACTAATTCGACTTCTTTCTACGACTTAATATCTACTACTATCCCTTCTACCTCCGCTACGCCGCTAATATTATCTTTAGCGAGGAAATCGTCGATATAGGCCTTATATAATAGAGATTAAGCTATTATATTAAAAAAGATAATAAACTTCTAATAGAAATCTAATAGAAACCCGTATTCTAATAGAAATAATAGAAATATAATATTTAGTACGCGTGCCTAGGCGCGACTATTAATAATACTAGCTAAGAATAGCTATATTTAAAAATAGGTAGAAATAGTACGTAATCGACAACAAGGCGATTCTATATTAGTGCTAGGTCTTAATCTACTAGGGCTCGGGCAGCCAGCTAGGGCTCGGGGAAGTAACTAAGACGTTAATCGCACTACACCCATAGAATATTAGCTCGATCGCATGCAGCCCGACCGAAAGAATTCCAGCGGCGGCATAACAGGACTACTCGTGTACTGAGACATGCTGGCACTATCAGCTGAGCAGCCTTTTCCCTTTCTCTCTCTGCGCCCGAGCGACGGCCCACAATGTCTAAGTTAATGATGAAGTCCATGGGCACTCATGAGGCTCCAATGCTGGCCGTATATGCTCGTGTTCATGTTCAAGTCCCTGCGATCACTCTCGCACGCAGGTCTCTGGTAGTGTTGCCGGCGTTGTCCAGATGCTAGAATAGCAATCGGAGAAGCATGCGAGTAGATATTCTATGAAAAGCACAACAAGGACAAGGACACGTACGTCCAAGCGCAAGTGTTCGGCGTCAAGGTCATCGCAGCGCAGCCGCTCGTGCGATCCGCCAGGCCAGGCTCTTTCGTGTACCGATCTTCTCGGGTGCAACAAACAAGACACCCTTGTCCAAAAGAACCACAACGCCCCGAGACTTTCGCGTGGAGCACACTCCGTCGGCCAGGATGTGTGCCGGAGTTTGACTTTCGACATGGTCATTGTTCTCGCCCCTTGATCCATGTGAGGCTGGCTATACACGTCCTCCTTTATCATCACGCGTATCATAGCAGCACGCAGATCAAGAGATCGAAGGAAGCTCCGAGCGGCGACTGGGCACAGCACATCTCAAGCTCCTCATTAGCACGGCACGTCGATCATGCTAACGTCTAGACCAGGCTACGAAGTCTCGAATTGGCCGGAGACGCTGCAGAATCGAATAACCAATAGCGGGACCTGTTGTCGAAGGAAGATACATACTGTCGTCCTTCCTTCCAAAGGCCGCCGAATGCCTACAGAGATCAACTAACACCTACAACCTCTACTACTAACAAAACCGCTCCTTTAGATTCGGTCCCGAGCGGTAGTCTAACACACGTTATTATTAGCTCTAAGATACGAGAACAAAAAAAGAAGAAGAAGAAGTATATCCGGCATCCTTCCGCTATCCTTCGATCTATATATACTATAAAATAGCAAAAGCAACTTAACCTTTCCTATCCTATCTCTTACTAGTACGACTAAAAGCTAAGCTAGGATTAGAGGATAAGCTAGCTATATAACTAACGCCGCCCGCTAAGTCCTACCCTAGACTTATATAACTATAGTAGTATCTATTATAAACTATCCTATCTAATCCTATACTCGGAAAGGGCGCTTAGAAGTATATATTAACTAGTCGGTAACTACCTTTAAACAAATTCTAGTCCCGTCCTATACGAGCGTATATTAGACTAGAAGTCTTCCTAGGACCCTATCTAGTATATACTCCTATCTCTCGTATACTTTTCCTATATCTTACTAACCCTATAAGGTACTAATATAAAAACTAGCATATCTAGATTTTCGAATATAGCGAGTATTAGAGGATAAGTAAAAGGTATATAATCGGCTAAGTAAAGCTAGGGTCTTAGTACCTTAGGTAGCGCTTAGCGCTTAGCGTTAGCCTAACTTCCTAACCTTCCTCTTTCTTCTTTATAGACCTTATTAAATACTATACGCTCTTAACTATACTATCTACCTACTTACCTAACCCTTAATACCTTATTATATATTTTTCGGTCTATCCTTTAGGGGCTATTCCTAGATAGTTAATTAATCTAAGAATACGGCTTAAAATTCGCACTAAAACTAGCCTCCTACTAAAACAAAAACTATATATTAAGAAACTGCTAATTCGACTATACTAATTACTAACTTAGGCCTTCTATACGGCCTATTCGACTAAGTTAATCGAGTACGGACTAAAATAGATAACTATAACAATATTACAAGCTAGGGCTTTATTATAGGCTAACGGAATAGCTACCTACTATTTAGACTACCTAACCTTAGGCCCCTAAGGACCTATTTGCGTAATAAAGTCTATACCTTATAGCGAGAGAAGGAATTCTATAAAAACTTCGTAGCTATCTAACGCCTTACGGCTAAGCTTAGCGCGCCTATAGTAGAAGAGCTAGTACTAAGGAAGGATACTAAACTTAAGGATTATACTATATTTAATAGCTCTAATAGGAGGTAGTATAACGACTATATCTGTAACTATAAGCTTAACTAGCGTAATGCACTAAAAGCGCTATTAACTAAATACGCCTTAGCCGTCTACGCTATATAATATATTAATAGCGACCCTAAGAGAACTTTAGAATAGCTAGAAAGAAAAATATTAACTATATTAATCCTAGCGAGTATTCTAATAATACTAGGGTCTAACCTATTAGTAATCTATAGCTACTAACCTAACTACTAACCTCCTATAAGAAGAGGAACTACCTAATAGTATAGAGCCTAACTAACTCGAGCGGATTCTACTACCGACGTTATAAAACCATTTTTCCTAGGCCTAATCGCGATAATCGCGACGATCCTATCGATCGCGAGCGATCCTAGCGATAGGATTAAATCGACTTGATAATAAAAATCATTATATTATACTATACTAAAAGTAGACCAATTTTTATCTTATATTACTAAGCCGTAAACCTTCTAGATAAAAAAAGATAGTATAAAGAAAAGAAAAATCGCTTTTCTAGAAATTCTACTTACTAGTTTGATTTTTTTTCTAGTAGGTTCACGGCTTAGTAATATAGCAGAAAAGTACTCTCTGTTTTTACTATATTATTATAAAAAAATATATATATATATAAAATTTCGAGATTTCCTAAGAAACTAAAGCTAGGAAAAAGAAAAAAAAAGTAATATAGTATTTTAGCTTTTTCTACCCTATACTTTACTATTTTTTAGAAATCTTACACGTAGAACTTAAAGCTCTAATTACTAATAAGACTATTATAGATTTTTAACTTTTAAGACCTAGTAGTTATCTTAGAATCTAGAAAAGAATCTCGAGTATCTCGAGTATACTTTTTTGCAAAGTTCTGCTTATTAAGCGTCGGCTTTTAAACAAAAAAAAACCTTAACGTAATCTCGGCTATATATTTAGCGAAACCTATACGATAAAAAATTATCTATTAAAAAAAGCCTATAAAACCGCTAAATTTAATATATATAAGTACGTAATACTCTAGAATACCTTATAGTAGTAAGTAGTATAGTATAGTTAGGCTCTAAGTCCCGCGTCCTTTACGTTCCTAGGAATTTCGGATATTTCTTAGCCTCTTACTCCCTTAAATTTCGGGACTACCTATTCTAGAGATCGCTTGTAATAGATCGTAATCCTATTAGATAAGATTTTTAATATATAATTCTAACAATCCTAACGATCCTTAGCAATCTTATTAATAAGATCGTCGTAATCGGAAAAAAAGTTTATCGTAATAGAAGATAGTAAGAAGTAAAGCTTTAGAAAACCCCCTACTTTTACTCCGACCGTCTATAATATAATAATAAAAAAAACAAATCCTAATATATATAGTAGTATATAACGAGTTTTCTTTTCTAAAAAGGAAGAGGAGATTAGTATATAGTATAGTAATAGTAGTATAGAAAGAGTATAGAAAGACTTAGCTATAGGATTCCTAATAATTCGAAGCTATATTATAACTAGAGCGGTAATATATCTAATAAAAAAAAGATAATATTATCTTCTTCTTCTTCTTCTCTATAGCGGCGGTCGTTCTTCTATTTATACGGCTTTCTATTAGTAGGTAGTAGTACGTTATAATAAGATACTAGCAATATAATAAATGCTAGCTAGTAACTGTTATTCTATCTCTCTATTCTAGACGCTATCGCTATGCAATTTAAACAAAGATTTAAAACCTCCCTATATGCTTCTCTACTAGCTAGATAGCTAGCTTTGTTAAATTTCAAGTCTATCGCAGATCAACGTCTAGGTGCGGTTCTGAAATAGGTAGCCACCTCGTATGGATATGTATGTAGCTCTCTACAGTAATGCCTCCGAAAGCACACGAGTCGTCAGTAGCGAAGATCGAGAATCAAGAATCCTGCATCATGCCGGCTTTCGTGGCATGTTGGAGCACGCAGCGCCGACGACGATCATCAGGGGAGGATTTTTGGGGGTTCCTTGCCTTTGATCCTTCAAGCTATCGGCCTCGTGGTATGTATGATAAGTGGCATAAATTCGTGATTCATCGCATTGTGCGTTAAAAAGGTTCGGTCCTGGGTATCATGAAGGCGGAAGGTGTTTGTTGATGGTGAGAAAAGAATTGATGAGGACTTGTGTCATGCGGTGCAGCGGAAGAAGTAGAAGGACTGAATCTGTCTCCGCGTTTCCTGACTTGTTCGCGACGAGGGCAGCCATCATCGACGTGACGGCGAAGCGTGTCTTTTCGTGCGAAGGCGCTGAAGCATAGTGGGCAGTGAAAGTTTCGTGTCTTCAGATGGACCTGGGTATCTTTATTAGCACTTGCTTTCAAAGTCAAGGTAGTCCAGGTTGCGCGACACTTACGCTTTGCTCGTGCCGCATGAGGTCAGTCCGTCTAACAAAGCGCCTCTTGCAGTCAGGGTACGGACACGCATGAGGTTGCTCTCGCTCAGGGTCGTGTGTCTCCATGTGGGCTTTCAGGTTGTAGCTGCGCTGGAACAGTTTGCCGCACTTGTCACACTCGCAGGTTGAGTTGGCATTTGTAGTGTATCCGCGCTTCACTCGCCCATCGCCGCCAGGACTGCGTGCGTCTTCTGAAGATAGTGCTCTACGCGGTGAGCGCGATGCGGGATCCGTCATCGGCTTCGTATGGTCTGCTTCAACCTTGGTTTGAGCGAAGATGGCTGCGAATGAGGCTTGTTCCGCAGCACTCAGAGGAGGTGTTGTGTAGATGTCGCCAGGATTGACGTGTGAGGGTGTTGTGTATGGCGCGAGGCCAGGAACGGAGTATAAACGGTCTTTGCTGCGATCCGCCGCTTCTTCCTGCTTGATACTTGGTGGACTCACGGGCTGCACGCAACCATCAGAATGCGCGCAAGGCGAAGATGCGACAACTGAGGAAGCAGAGCTGATGGTGTAATTTGAGTTTCTGGAAGAGGCTTCGCAAGCCGGGGGGTTGAAAGGTGTCGTATAGCCTGATACTGCCCCGAAAGCTGTCGAGGTATTCATCGGAGTCGAAGAGGAGTACCATTGATCGAGCGCCGAAGAATACTGCGAATTGTCTTGGTGGGCGACAGGTGAGAGCAGCGAGGCATTCGAACAAGGCCACGACACCGATGCGGCCAGTTCGTTGGAAACGGAATAACGAGAATCGAAGATGGGTTGTGCTGGGTTGGGGAGAGACTCAAGACCTAACCGTCGTGCAGGTTCCGAAGGCCATGGCATGGATTGCGAAATCGTGTAGGGGTCTTGAATCGAAGATTCGGCGGCAGACCATCGTTCACTGCTGAGGTTGTTTTGCTCGTGAGAGTCATGCGATGTAGTTGGGTCAGGTGTGGTGGGCTGGCAGAGATTGTAGTCCTGCCAGTCCTGCATCGTTTGCCTTGATCGTTCTTGGGGGGGATACCAGCTCATGTTGAAGCACGTCGGAGGGATTCGTGGAGGATTTGCGTTCGATCCAGCTGGGGGCCGAACGAGCAAAGATATACCGGCTCGCAATGGACGTCATGAGGCACTGGTGCATCGACGAGTGGTTGCCAAAAATGCATCAGAGGCAGTGTTGCTACCAGCGAGCGGTTAAGACATGACAGTCGCCGAATTGAACGGACAACATTGTCTCTGGGCACGAGCGGCATAAGATGGCGAAGTTGCGAGCAGAGCAGGGGAATGCGTTTGCGTTTGCCAGGTTCATGGAGGCTATGTGGGCGGTTGTGGCTGTCAGGATGAAGAGAGTTCGCATGCATGGGGAACTGCGTCTGCGTAGGAGCCGGCGAGAGGCTTCGCTTGCTGCATCGTCAGCCTTGGCGCAAACCGCCAGAACGAGGCCGGGGTGGGGTGGCAGGTGCGATCGCAAACGCGGGCCGAATCACACTCCGTCCCGCGAATGTACAGGGCAATCCTGGTCGCGGGATCGTGAAGCGAGAAACTCAGACGTCGGCACAACTCAAAGTCCTGCAAAGACTAAAGACGGACGGAACTTGCATCTGCCTCGATCCTTGCTTCCCCGAGGGGCCGCGCCGCGCTTAACATGTGTCTTAAGCGCGGAGGGAGACGGTCGATTTTGTGGGGCGTGCCGGGGGCCCTCTCATCTCCACCACACGTGATGCCGCATGCCGCATGCCGCATGCCGCCCGCAACGTGCTTTCGAGCATCACCTCACGCACGCTCTGCAGGCGTGCCATCCTCAAGCAAATCAGACCAGATCTCGACCTGCGCTTGGAGATTAGCGATGGCAGCCTTCAATCCTTCCGGAGACTCCGATGCCGGCTGCTGCTTCGGCGCGAGCACCCCCCTTGTCTCACGCGCTTCTCTGTCGAATGGAAGACGTCTCTCCGCCGGTAGCCTCTTCCTGCACAGCGGCCGGCGCAATGAGGTTGACGACTGGAGGCTTAGCCTGTTTGAAATGCGAAAGGAGCCGGCGCCACGGCGATCAAGGATCCTAAGCGCCCGTTCATACCCAAGTATGCAGGCCACAAGAGGTGCATGTGTCGCCTTGAGCAGCACTATCCGCATTTTCCGCACGTGTTGTGCAGAGAACACCAACCGGAGTGGTCGAAGCATCAAGGGTAGGAGATTCTGTTGGGATGAATGATTAGCTTTCGAATGCAAGTGCAGCAGCCGGCCTCCGACTACTAGTCGAGCTATCGAGGTCCCGCTGTTGGCCTGCGGAGCACCAACACCTGAGCACGCAAACACTGGAGATCATTCGCTCACTGCAGAGTGTTGGCCGTCGTGTCTTTCCATCGTGGCGTGTGGCCCAGGCCTCACATGCTCCACGGCGATGCACGAGCGGTTTGCGCCACAGCAGTGCAGGGACGGGCCACTGCTATTCTGGCGGCGCCATTACAGGAAGGTGACGAACTTACCAGCACAGGGTAGAAATATGTCAACCGGTTGGACGTCGAGGCCTGCCCAGATTAGTGTGGGGAATGGGTCGACTGGAGCCTGGTGTAACTACCTCGAGCACGTAGACACTGTACTGTGCTTCGCCATCAGCTCAGCTCGGTATAGCCACATAACAATGGCGCAGCCAACTTACAGTGTAGAGATATTCGTCTTTGGCATGCTCCATGACCTTGTGCAACGGAAGGGTGTCAGCCAATGGTCCAAGTGATGGGCGCTTGCGTCGGACAGGGGTTGGATAACTCACGCGGTCCAACGTGTTACTCAGGATCGATATCATAGCACCTTGCAGCAAGAAACTAGTGAGAGCACAGAACACTAACATTATAGCGACGCCCAACACAGGACTGATCTGTTCTTGTTAGTGAAAGTCTGATGCCGCGCTCTCCAACGATGACCAACCTGTTCTGCAGTGTCCTGCGCAGCTTGGGATCAGTATGCATGACACAGGGTGTTGCCATCCTAACTTACGAAGCCGAGGTAGCTTGAACCAAAGAAGACCTTGATCAGTATCCAATTGATGTGGCCGAAAGTGTATTGGCCTCGCGCCAGGAATGAGAAGCAGGTGGAGAATCCTGTTGGGTGTTAGTCCTCGTACTCCTGTGCCAGCGAGGGCCTACCTCGTACCAACGTAGAGTATCGCAACGAGCGACAGGAATTTCACGAAGTCGATGGTCTGTCATCGTCAGCATTGTCTGTGGGGTATCCTAGAGGTTATGAGGATGACACTGGCCATCGCTTTCAACACTGGAAGCAGCATGCCAAAGTACGGGTGGAGACTGAGCAGTGAGCATATCCTGTCGCAGAAGCAGTGGTCAGTCTAGACGTCTGGTCAGTAGAGGTGCACTTTGTTGGAGCTTACCTGGGTATCAGGAAAAGAGCCTCGAGCGACAGAATGTCGAATGCAACATCGGTCGCGTGTGGATGTCCTTGCAAGCCGATCATCCTAGCGACGAAAAAGGCCACGCCGACGAAGATGATTCCAAGGTCCCATAGAGACCAGAAATCGGTCGCGTAGAATGTCGAGCCAGCATCGCAATACTCCACGAACTCTGCACTCGGCGTCAGCAAAGCACTCGAAGAAGCTCAAGCACTGTATACCGTTATAGGTGAACGAAGCAAGCCATATATACAGCATGACTTCTGCTGCAGTCACATCCGACGTGTGCTTCTGCACCAGCACGACATAGTAGAATGTCAAGAAGCCTGCGAAGAACAAGACTTCGAAGACCTTCAAGTAAAGCGGTACACGCAGGCGGCAGTAAGGATCTGCTACCTTGGGCCGGTACACCTTTGCTTCCTTGCATGAATGCGTGCTCAACGTCTCCCAGAATACAATGTCGCCTTTCCAGATCCCGTCAATGATGTGTTGAATGGTCTTCTGTCGCAGGAACTTCTTCGCATCTGACACGGCTGCAATCTCCAGAGCATTTAAACCAGCAAAGGTGGAGGAGAAATCAGATTGGAATGTGTCGGTCGGCAGTCGAGGTGACTCATCGTAGAAGGAGTCCTCTAGCCGGGGGGAAGGTGTGTCCAGCAAGGGTGCTCGCTCGTTTTCAGCTTCTTCGAGAAATTCATCGTCGGCCGCCTCAATGTCACCATTGGTCTGCGCGCTATCAAGCCCAGTCCCAGGTAGATCGGTGCACAAGTACTCAATAGTCTCACGATGAGTGAGATGGGTGATGAATCGCCTGCGGGGTCAGTCTTGTCTATGCACAACTGATTGCCACGCTTGCTCACCATGCCACAAGTTCGCACGAGAGACCTCTCGTGGCATTAATGCCTCTGTCGTCGCCCTCTTCCAGCTCATCGAAATGCCATTTGAGCGCTCTACAGTCATCTCAGCGGCTAGCACTCGCACTAATGGTCATCTTGCTTACAAGAGTGCACTGACGATGGCCTGATGCTGGACCTCGTCAACGAGATAGCGCACCAGAGGCCGCAGGGATGTGGCATACACATCTCGTCGAAGCTCTTCCCAATCATGCGGCGTCTCGATGGCGTGCACGAAATAACTGTGTGCCGGATACTGGTCAGCTTGCAGGCGAGCGCGTCATCCACACCGCCGGGTCGTGAATTTGCTTACACGGATAGCTTCTTCACAAGGCTGTCGAAGGACTCGGAGCCCTCAATGGCGGGTAAGGCTGGCGCTGTGCGACGGCGACGCATGTTGTGAAGACGTGCAGGATGCAGAGGAGCAAGCACATGTCTCACTCCCGTTTGTGTTTCGGAGGTCAAATTAGCCGCGAAAATAAGGCCCGGCGGCTGTTAGCCGCCGACAGCCGCGCCGCGCGGCTCACTTTCACTTGAGCTGTCAGACTTTCCCAGGGTGTGGGTGTGGGTGTGTTCCGCCGGTCGGTCTAGCTTCTCAGTAAAGATCGATGCTATGTATTATTGTATTTTCACTTGGCTGACAATAATCGCCCTTTGGAAGTCCTGCCAGCTGCCAGCATCGATTGGTCGAGACACCCGCCCACACAAGGCCGTCCAGACAAGCATGTGACAACGATAAACGTGGACTGTGATGGCGTGGCGAGATCGGTGAGCACCATGCTAGGCACCCGCAGAGTTTACTAGCAGTTCCCAAGCTTGGCAACCACCACATAGCCCAGCAGCGCAGTCAATCGGATGCAATGGCGGAACAACCTTATGTGAATGAAATCACGCAATCTCTTCCAACCTGAATGAACTCTCGCGACAGCCTCGCAATTGTTCCTCTATCAATGCTTAAACTTCGCCGTGGGATATCAATCTCCCGGGGCAAGTGACAAATGTTCGGCGACGCTCGGCAGACAGCGATCGTCTCGTACCCCACCTCTATTTAGGCGCCCCGCTTTGTAGGCCTGTATAGACCTTCTACCTTCTGCCTTCTATAGACCTTCTACCTTCTGCCTTCTACCTTCTACCTTCTACCTATTCTATTCTTATATTGTCTTCTATACTAGGATATATCTAGTTAGCGGTTCCTACTAAGCCTATAGCGAAGCGTCTAAAGTAAAACTCGGCGTCCTCTATATAACTATCTATAAGATTTTAGTATATTTATAGATATAGAATAATACCTATATACTACGACGATAAACTGAAAAAAGGGGTCCTATACCTTAATAAGAAGAAAATATATCCCTATATAAAGTACTCGCTAGTCCGTAACCTATAGGCTTAGTCTATTATATATAAAGGTTAGTTATTTATATAATCTATAAGAAATCCTAGATTTCCCGCGGCTCGAAGGCTAGAAGATTATAATAATACGAGTCTATATATATCTATAGCTCTAGGCCCCTTCTAAGTTCTAACGGCCTATCTCTCGGACCTCTAAGTATATAAGTCTTAGAATATACTAGTTAGTACTATAAGTATCTTATCCTCGAAGATAAACGCTAAGACTTTTATCGTAGTCTATCTTCTTTATAGTAGTTAGAACGCGATAATAACGCTTTATTATATAATATCTTAGACCTAGAGTATTAGAGCTAAAGAGGCTATACGTAATTAGTATATAACTAGGCCGAGTAAAGCTAGGGTCTCGATGCCTTAGGTAGGGCTTAGCGCTTAGCGTTAGACTAACTTACCTACCTTCCTCCCTCTCCTCCTAGATCCTTATCGAATACTACTATATCTACTACTACCCTATCTACCTACTAATATAACCCCTATTATATAGAGATCCTTATATAAGGCGTTAAAAAGGGCCTCGATATCTCTATACTATTATACTATTATAGAGAGGTTAAGTTATAGCCTCGATTCCCCTCGAAGGACAAATAGCTATATTCTATAGGCTATTCTAGCCTAGTTTATTTCTAGGCTTATAGGCGAAGAACTAGATAGAGTACTTATAATTAGTTATTAGTAAGTTTAGAAGCTAGCCCTAATTGCTAATCTGTTACGTACACTTAGTCGTAGTATAATCTCTATCTCTATTTACGTAACTTAATTCTTTATAACTATAGGCCTAAATAGAAATAGCTTATATCTCTCGCCTAGCGTATAGTAGATAGGTTGAAATTAGGGTTAATACTAATAAATGATAGTTATTTAAGCTAAGCCTAATCCCGATATTTTATATACCTATAGGAAGTCCTATAAATTATAATAGTAGCTACTATAAGTAAATATATAAAGGCGATATTTTAGGGACCCTAAGGAGGCTTCTAGTACTTAAAATAGATTAAAATATCGAGGTTTCCGGGGCGTCTGTATATAAGGGAGGAAAATACAAAATAATAGAGTAGATTACGTATAGAGAAGTATACATAGTCGCGTTATATTAGTAGCTATAGACGCGTAGAGAGATTAGAATTTAGAATGCCTAGTTATATTTCCTATAGTTAGTTGTATATTACGTTATAAATAAATAACATGTTATAATATATAATGCCGTTGTTTAATTATCCCTAGTTAAAATGAGGAGTTAGAGCGTAGATGCGGAACCGTGATCTGCCATCTCTAAGGGACGTCTGTTTAGCCAATTTGCATTCATCAGTCTGAACTTGGAACTGGACGGGGCATGGGTCACGCTAACATGTTGAAACTTCACCTCGACAAAATTTTTCTCGCATTTTGCAGAACGCGGAACATCAAAGACGAATTCTTGATGACTTACAACGCGTCCGGAATCTTCGAAGGACCGGAAAGCCTGGATAAATATGGACCTCGCTATGGCTAAACTCGATCGTCCAGTTTTTGGCAGAATGGCACAGCTTCGCGCCTGTGACAGACAGCTTCACTATGAGTAATCCTGAGAAAGAACTTTCCTCCCGGTGGACACTATACTCGTGGTGAGCCTATGGCAGGAGTCAGAGCTATCGACCGCGACGCAAAAGATCACATCGTGTGTCCGGTGTTTTCCGATCCGATCCCGAGAACGCAACTTCTACGCTCCAAGACCTACCTACCCCATCACTCGCTACAAGACTTCCTATACAAATCTGCAGAACGCAACACCACTTCCCGTCCTTCAGAAACCGACGGGTACATATTCACGATTCGCCGCCCGCAAGCAGGCACCATCAACAACCTACCTCTTCCTCGAGGAAGCGATGCAGATTGAGTCGACTCTGTAACATACAAAACCCATCATGCCATTCAGACGTACCTTGAGAGCACAGAACCTGCATTCAAACGCATTGATACAGTACACCCGACGGTCCAAGAGCCAAATATTCAAAAAAAGAAAAATCATTAGAAACAGCGCTGCAGGAAAATGCGAACACGGTAAGCTTTGCTCTCTGAAAACCAACATGCACTGGGCGGTGTCGGACACAGACATTCAGAAGGGCTTTCTAAGTCTTTTTTTTTGATTTTCTTTTTCAAGCCTTTACAAACACCACCGACTCCTACGTGGCAGCATCGTGATTTGTATCAAGACGGAACGTAACACAATGCACAGGTCCCAAGCCCAAGGACATTAGACCTCCAGCACAAATATGAAAGCACTACAGCGCCAAGGAACAAGCTGCTCTGAAGCACATCAAGATCGATAGAACTACAGCACTCGCACGAATCTCGACGGAACGAGTCGCAACGAAAGGCATCGGTGGCAAGCACGCTCATAGGTACGGCAAATGTTCTGCATTCGCCTCTCTACATCACGCCCACGCATCATCTTGCTGCATGTACATGCAAAGCTTTAGTTCTTCAATCCTTTGTATAAATCGCAGTCAAGTGACTAACAAATGGGAAGCAGTAGGTACTTTCTTTCGTAGGTATCGTGATATCTCAATCCTGCTCTGTGTCAGTGTCACACTATCTGGACTCTCAAAAATGTTCCATTCCATCTGAATCTCTACCACTGAATCCTAGGCACCGCCAAACTCCCATTAACCCTCTGCCTCGTATAATCCCACAAATTCTGAAACTTCCGACACGTATGCACCTGGTTGGAGTCTACATACATATAATCGATCGCAGGTTGATACCTCAGCGGTGTGATGGTGCCGTCAGCAGAGCATTGAATGCGTTGCCGGATTTGATCGATGCAATGCACTTTTCTCATATTTTCAGCATCATCCTCTTATATCATGATAAATCCACAAAGCTCAAATGCGGAAGGAAGCTGACTTACTGTTGTGTTCGATTCCACCGAAAAGGACATGGTCTCCTGGATAGTAATCTGGGCGGAGGTTTTTCCTTAACATGTTCTGAATTCTTCAGTTAGCAGGTGAAAGTCGTTTGGCAGCTGGTGCATACCAAACAGTGCAACATGTGGAAAACATCGAATCTGGGAAGCAGAGATCAGCACATCGATCGCTCTGAGCACATTCAAGTCCTCAGAATACACAACAGACTCACCCTCCCGTATACCCTCCTTTGGCATGATCGCGATATCGCTCATGTCCAACGCCCCAAAGCATCTTGGCCTCATCCTCCGAAATAGACCAATATCTATCTTCGACGAGTTCGTCCCAGTTCCGGTCAATTTCCGGGCTTGGGTCACCAACATACACTGGCTCGGCCGGATCGAACACCAAAGTTTTCGTTCCGTCGGGTAGGAAGCCCACGCTGCCGGTGAAGCGTCGCTGTTCGATCTCATACAGATGTGGGGGCACTGTACGCCTACGCTGAGCACAAACCCCCCAGTGCAAAGCGGGAATTTTCTCAACACGTACGTATTTTCTCAGTCACGAATCCGTGCTCCAAGGTCCCGAGTTCATGCGCAATGCCTTTTGTGGATACCGTTGAGCGGTACACTTGAGACGCCGTATGCCCGAAATAAATGCCAATGGCGAGTGCAAGCAGTGGCATCAACGTGAGGAGAGACGTTCTTCGTGCAGGTTCTTGTTGCATTTTACGGTAACTGCCTTCCATGACGTGGGGAAGCATAGCTTTTGGAAAAATGGCATATGAGCGTTGAGTGTGCTATGGATCGTCGCAGTGAAAAAGGAGCTCGCTATAGAGTATACGAGCAAGGGCAGTTTCCAGGACGGGTAGTCGCAAGGAGAGTTGTTGAAGCTCGATTTCTGAGATACGACGCTCGCGCTGGGCGGAGCATGTGCCGGTGGCTCGATCAACTAGTTGATGGCGTGATTACATGAAGGCGTGAGTCCTGCCTTGCATTGGGCAACTAGAGGGAGACAAGTTAGTGGAATGCCGACTTCGTAGACCCAGATCTAGAGCTTCTGAATGCGGAGAAGACGAGGCAAGGCTCAGTTGAATTCAGCCCAATGTACCTCATCGTTAGGTATTAGGTTGGGAGCCTTACTAGCGCCATTCCAGCCTTGCAATAGAGCCTCGATCTTCAGACACCCTGCGACACCCGCCATCGCACGACACGAGCGTTCTGAACTGATGAAACCGAACACGAAACTGATTGGGGGTCTGATTGCGTATTCCAAGGAAGAAAGAGGACGGGGAGAAAGCGTGGCGGGCGTGTTCTATTATATTCTATGTCTTGCCACTTGGCCATGCTGACTGATATTCTAGTTCTGCACGACCACGAGCAGAGACTCGCAAGAGCGAGAGCGGAAAACGAGCGAACGGACTGCAATGGACAAGATGGAATGCTATTAACCCCAGCCGATGTACTGCACTGCACTGCACTGTACTGTACTGCACTGTACTGGAAATCCTTGCATACGCCAACGCAAAGCGAGCATCGTTCGGCGCCTCGTCCCGGGGCATTTACTAGGTGCACCAATCACCATTGCCTCGCCGTGCCAAGCGCATCTGCTCGTCGACGGAGCTCTATACATACCAGATTGTCAATGGAGGGTTAGCTTCACTTCAGTCTATTGTCCTGTTGCGCCTTCCTTACTAACCTTACTATACCTATTGTCGCGACAAACCTTACTTAGACTCGCTATACTTTCGTACCTTGCCTCGTAATGTTCTTCTTCTATCGATAATACCGATAGCGATAGCGATACCGATACCGATAGTAGTAGCCGCTATAACTAGTATTCCGCGAGACCTTATTCTTAGCGCAGCTTTAGTAGCTTTAGCTTCAACTTTGGTAGCGTACTTACTAGTAGCGTACTTACTAGTAGGAGGAGGAGAATATTTATCGTAAGTCGCGAGGCGTATCGCTATAGACTCGCTACTAACTCGCTCTAGACTTCGACGCCCTACGACTATAAATACCTACGATTTCTAGTACTATAGCGCGTAGATATAGTAAGAGCTACTCGATTAGATAGCGATACTAGATAAGAAGAAGGCGGTATTAAATAGACTACGGAAATATAAGGCTACTAGAATTATTATAGAAACGGACTCTAGTAAGCTTATACTAGCGCTATACTACTACTATATACGCTCTAATAACTTTAAGTATCGTATACTTAATACTAAGGGCGAGCGTATCTACGCTTATTATAAGTATAAGGGCAAGTCTAGCTATACGGCTAGTATAGAAGAGGTTAAAGAAGACGATAGAAATAGCGAGCTAGCCGCGATATAGGCGCGAGTCGAGGCCGTAGAGGCAAAGAATACTAAACTAGAGGCAAAGATTAAGGTATTAGAAGCTAGGTTCGATAAGTTAGAAGGATATTGCCTCTCGTAGTTTAAATAGCTTAAGAATAAGGCTATTATTAAGTCTAAGGATGTATATACGATATAGAAGGAGCTGTAGCTAAATAGCGATCGCGAGCTGCTAGTAGATAATGTTTAAAGAGCGAGTCTATAGCGAGTCTATAGCGAGTCTATATTTTAATTTCCTTTCTTCTTCGATTATATCTCTATAGATAATAGATTAACTAGCTTCTAAGTACGCTTTAGCTTCTAACTCTTCTATCCGCTCTAACTATCTTACTAACTATCTTACTAGCTATCTTGCTAGCTATCTTACTAACCTTACTAACCTTACTAACCTTACTAACCTTACTAGCCTTACTAGCCTTACTAGCCTTCTTACTAGCTATCTTGCTAACTATCTTACTAACTATCTTGCTAGTCCTTAGCTTCGCTCGACTCTTTTAGAATAGGCGTAACTCGCGGTAGCCTCGCAGTATCCTCGCCGCTTAGGTTAGTAGGCTTAGGCGGCTTTTTTGTATCGATTACCTTCTCCTTCTATAGCTTCTCTTACTTAATCTCTATAGATAGAACAACCCCGTCCTAACTCGCTATAGTACTCGCGCTACTACTCGTAGTAGGAGTACTTAGCTAGTGCTTCCGCTTTAGTTGCCTTTATTGCTATAGCTTCTACTATTATTAGATATAGATTTTAAGGTAATAATTAGTAGCTGCTTTGTTGCTTTCCCTCCTATTTGCGGTTTAAAGAGTATAAGAGCCTCTTTAACTAGTCTTAGGCCGAGTGCTTTAGAAGCGACTTTATCTAGTAATAGGCGCTTATTATCGAAATTAGTATAGAAGAAGTAGTCCGTATAGTCGTCGACCTAATAGACGCTACCTTACGGTAGGTCCTTAGCGTTAATCCGACTAAGAACCTAGTCTATAAGTAATATATTAGCTTCTTCGAAGTCTTTATTAGACTAGATATTAGTAATAGAAGTCTATAGGACTAGCTAATTATATTCCTATAGGTCGACTCTACCCCTACGAGAAACCTCTACTCGCTAGCTAAAAACTAAATAGCGGTAGGTAAATAATACCTTTATTAGCTCCTTTAATAGTTATATAGGTATTAGTAGACGTTGCGAGAGGCTCCGAGATCTAGCATTTAGTCGAGAAGTTAGCTTATACTACTAAATAGCAGCATTGCGTACAGTATTCGCCGCCTTAAGTAGAGAAGGGAACGTATTGAAGCCTCGTACTATACTCGTAGTTAAACTCGTAGCAGTAGCGGTAGCAGCTGCGGCTACTACTAACGGCTCGCGTATAAATCGCTCGGTTAGTAGATTAGGGTTCTTAAGACTACATTAGTTACAGAATACGTATGCTTTTAATAGTATTATATAGTTAGCGCCGGTAATAGTATAAAAGGTACCCTAGACAGGCATTATTAGTAGTAGAACTAAGGTAGAACTATAGCAGTAGTATAGAGGTAGAACAAGATAGGAATTGAAAGATTAAGAAGGAAATAGAACTAAAATAAGCGACTCGCGGCCGGCTCGCGGCCGGCTCGCAAATCCCTTATTTTAGATTAGTATATATTATTTGCAAACTTAATCAATCTAGCCCCGGTATTCGCCCTACCTAACGTCCAATTACGAGCTACTAATAGCTTGTCTAACTCTATTAGTTTAGGCCCTAACCCTATAGCTATATACTCGGTAATTAGCTATCGAAGAAGTAAGTATACCTAGCGGTAAACTCGCTCTCTATCGCTATTATTCTCGCTACTACTAACTAGATACGAGAAGCCGCGAGTCTATAATGCTATCTAACACTAAGTAAGCGTAGCCTCGGGCAGGTAGGCTTTAAGATCTAGGAATTAGCGAGTCTATTAGCGAGTCTATAGCGAGTCTATAGCGAGTACTATAGAATCTAATATATACCGAATCCTTAAAGGTCTTGCTCTATATTATTAAGTACGCTATTAGGTATAGGAATACCTTAATAAGAATGCCCGCTTAGCTCTAGATAATAGTATAGAATATACGGAATACCTAGTACAACGTATAGTCGATTAGCCTGCTTCCTAATCCGATAGCTATTCTAGAGGTAAATAAATTCGAGGACTTTATAGCGTATAATTAGTATATAGACTATAAGGAAGGCAATCCGATCGGCTAGCAATTTAGTATCGTATAGTAACTCGCGTAGCAACTCGTGAAAATAGCCCCTCTAGCTATTTAATACGGGTGCTTACTAGCGCTACTATATCTCGATCCGCTAGTTTATCTTACTCGTACCGTATTTAAAGCAGTCTTCGAAAGCTAGTAGTTCTAGTTCTAGTTCCGGTTCTAGATTACTACGAGTCGTAAGGCGAGTCGTATAGTAAGCGTCCGCGGCTAGAATCGTTTCCGCCCTACGGTCTAATCGGATAATCTATAGTATTATACTACTATTCTTAATCGTTGCAATATATTAAGCGAGTACAGATATAGCTATACGGCTAGTAATCCCTACGTAGACCTAGATAATATAACGCGAGTAGACATTAATAGCTACGTAGATCTATATCCCCTAATACTCGAATTTATAGTAAGTATCTATTAATATTGCGTAGCTAGGGCCTAGTATAACAATCGCTCTATAGTACTCTCGCGCCCGCTCGCGGCGGACTCGTAACCCTTTAGGATTTAGTAAGCAAGCTATACGATATAGCCGATCTCTACTAATAATATTGTATTTAGACCTAATATAGGTATATAGGTGCCGTCGGCCGAAAGACTCTACCGTAGACTTCTCGAGCTCTTCCTATAAGACCTCTACTATCTCCTTTTCCGCTTCTATCTATCTATCTCGCGATAATACCTTCTTTAATCTAAGCTCTTAACGTATCCGTTAATATCTCCGCTAGCTAATATTAAATCTATCTATCTTTAGTACTTTAACCGCTTCTTTATTAGTTAAGCGTAAAGCGGAGAAGATATATATAACTCGGATCTTTAGTACCTCGATATTATTAACTCGGTTATAGTAAGCGTAATAGCTATAATTAACCCCCTATTCCTTAAGCCTCCGACAAAGCGTAGAAAGAGCTATCTAGTAACTAGTCTCTTATATAAGGTGCTATAGGATTTCGCCTTATATAGTGCCGCTATTAACCTGTAAGGTTATCTAAGCCCTCTATAGCGAGAGATCGATACGTAGAGGCATTTTGCGAGTCAATAGCGAGTATAGTGCGAGGGCAAATATAGAAAGTTGGTCGTAGAGGTAGGTTAGTAGAGGCGGTAAGAACCTCCATTGACAATCTGGTATGTATGGGCCTCCCTACTCGTCCAGCATCAGGCTGAACGATCCACAACAACAACACTGTCGTCGACCAACACGAGCCGGCAAATGGTAATACAAGTGTTTCGCTACTCTTCTGGCTGGCCGCTCCATGCTGTGGCACCATCAGTCGGCAAACTCAACGGGGCATCTCGTCATCTGCCGCCCTGCTCGATTCTGCACTCCGCAGTACAACCCTTCATACCTGCCTTCCTGCCCGTCCAGTCATCGCTTCAGCTTCGGCTCTGCTTGCGAGGCACTGGTGCCATGGTCCGATGATCGAGAAGTTCGACGAGAACCGTCGATTTCTCCCACCAGTTCGTCGGTCCTCGTCCTCGCTTCAGCTCTGGGAACGAGGTATTGTGGTCATATGGTCCAGTGCTGTCCAGTTCCCAGACCAGTGTCGTATTCGGTAGTTGCCACTTCATCGGAACCTCTCCCGTTCGGTTCTTGGGCTCCTCGGTAGAACTAGCTCCCAGATCACAGCTCCTTGGATCACGCCGGAGGAGTGTGGTCTTGTTTGTTGCTCGCGACCGTCACGTATCCACCGTCACTCGTCACGTTCGGAGCTGGCTCGTCCTCTTTTGAAAACTTCGTCAGCCACTATGGATCCAGATGTCAAGTACGGGATAGGCTCAGAGTCCTCCAGCGATGGTAGTGTCTTGAATGATTTCGACAGCACCAACGACAATGAAAAAGGGCTGCTGCTTCCCTTGGATCAATTGAGCACCGGCAAAACGGGTCCTCCTCGTCGCTGGCCTTGGATCTTCTATCTGCTTTCCCATGTGTTCACTGCTGGCTTGGTTTATATCGTTACGCAGCGACGGCACCCTACATGTTTCTGCCCGGGAGAACAGATTTCACCATTCATGTCGAGTATCGATCGAAGTTTTCATGCGGAAATAGGCAATGCTGCATTTCCAGAAGCAGCTGGCAATGACACGGGGAATGAATCATGGAACAACTTCACCGTATCCGTCGAGGTCGGAGGCGATGCCATCGAGGATTGGTGGCTGGACCTTGGTGCATATAGTGAGCCATTTCCTTCTTGATGTTGATACGAGTAGAGCTGATGCTCACATAGCCACACCTGTGCTTGTTCCGCTCGAGTATGGGAACGACTTCAACTTCGATCCCGAGAAGCATGCCATTGTAAGACCAGACGACGGCGCCTTTGGCCCCGGAAAGGTCCCGTACGCAGGCTACCCAGCTTCCATCGAAGTCATGCACAAGTTGCACTGCCTGAACTTCTTGCGTCAAGCTGCCTACTACAATCACCAGTATTATCGAAGCATTCACGGAAAACCCTGGCATCTTGGCGAACATGAGCTGGTGCGGCATATTGGGCACTGCGTAGACATTTTCCGGTAAGCCAAATTCGGGCTGCTGTTTCATCGTGTTTAAGTACGATGGCTGACATCTTTCTTCTCCTCTAGTCAAAAGATTATTTGCGAGGCCGAGATCGAGCTGGTACCGTTTGTACGTTCCGGACCCGGTCCTCATAGGAATGATTGGGCGAGACCGAAGAAGTGTAGAAATTTCGAAGCAGTACGAAGTTGGCTTGCCAATCATCAATGGAGAGCAGGTGACGCGAATTTTTATCTTGATGATCATCATCATTTTGAAGAAGTTATAACCGTTACGAAGAAGCCCGTACACTCGATGAGAGAACTTTGGAGAGGGTTTTGAGATTCAAAGTCACCCCATCATGTGTAGTATGTAGTTGCTGTTGGTGTCCAATGATCAAGATTCCATCGTAGTTATCAAGTCGGCTCAGCCTTGCGTTGAACAAGTTTCTTTTCAGCATTGCATTGTGAAGAGCAGCGAAACGTGCCTTCTTGTTCGGACGCAGACGATCATTGGAGTCCTGGGCGGACTGAATCGCCAATTTTCCACCAATAGCGATGGCGTGTTGTAACGGACAACCGTCAACAACGCCTTGTCAAGATCAAGAGAATAATCAATCATCTAGCATTGGACTGGAGAGAAAATTCATCAAAGGGAAACAACTTCACGGAATGAGCTGGAGAGATTTGAAAAGAAACATTTCCAATTTTTGTGATTGATGTGCCGTTCTAGCAACAATAAGGGACTAATGATATAATCTGTTGAAGATCAATATCTCCCAAGATGCCTTTCGATCAACCGATTCGTTCAAGTGGCCATCGACGCTCCCCTTCACTTCTTGTCAGAGAACGACCAGCCGTAGTTCTCATAGGATGAATCCTCATTGTCACGCTCTGCAGTAGTAAGCTCACGGTTTCAAATATCATCATAGATGTCACTTACCTTTCACTTTCTTGTCAGAGAACGACCAGCCGTAGTTCTCATAGGATGAATCCTCATTGTCACGCTCTGCAGTGGTAAGCTCACGGTTTCAAATATTATTAAAGATGTCACTTACCTTTCACTTTCTTATCAGAGAACGCCCAGCCGTAGTTCTCATAGGATGAATCCTCATTGTCACGCTCTGCAGTAGTAAGCTTATAGTTGCAAATATCAAAGAGACCACTTACCTTTCACTTTCCTGTCTGGGAAAACTGGTGGCCCCCAAGTTACATCCTCGTTGTCACGCTCTGCAGTAGTAAGCTCACGGTTTCAGATATCAAAGATATAACTTACCTTTCACTTTCTTATCAGAGAACGCCCAGCCGTAGTTCTCATAGGATGAATCCTCATTGTCACGCTCTGCAGTAGTAAGCTTATGGATGCAAATATCAAAGACACCACTTACCTTTTACTTTCCTGTCCGGGAAAACTGGTGGCCCCCAGGTTACATCCTCATTTTCACGCTCTGTAACTTGGATGAGTACAAAGTTGGGTCTTAAAGGGAGCACGACTTGCCCGCTATTTGTTTCTGATCCGCCAACTGGACCGCAGGTAACGACTGCAGTGAGCGATGCTACGAGGAGAGGGATGTGAAACTTCATGATCAGAGTAGTGTTTGGTAGAGTTGCAGAGCAATTGATTTTATTTTGATTCTTCGAAAGGTGATTGTCTCTGCTGCAAGCGGATCGTATTTGAGAGCTTTATGTGTCGTTTCAAGCAACTACTGTAGAGCACGGTTTGTATGATTATAGTAGTTGCCGAGATAAACGATTTCTTGGCGGTCGTCTGCTTCCTTGTATGTACCTTCTACCCTTCCATAATCTCCTGTCACTTTGTACTCGATCTGGATTAGGAGCTAAAGAAGCCTTCATCGAACCACAGTTAGCCAAAGCCTCGGCCCCGATGGTGGAAGGTGTGTGCTGTGCTTGCCTCTGCTACTTGCATTCAACCAGGAAGGGGCTGAACCGGAGATAGGACTAGGACTAGGATATGTAGCCTGAGGGTCGTAAGGGAACATGTCACACGACTTTTGATACATGGTGACTTGGCAAGGTTTCAGACAGGGCGCTAAATGCTGTATGGGTATTGGTATATTGAAACAGGGAATGGGGCTTTGCAGGACACTGTCCTCGAGACGAGGATCTTTGGAGTCAGGCTGCATGGTACAGAATAGCACTTCATGTAAGACACAATATAGACTAAGGACCTAGACTGTATAAACAACTGTGCGGAGTTGTTCCACGCGGTCGTCGGCAAATCAATTGCGACCTGTTGGTTCGAAGTCAAGATTTGCTCAGGAAGTCGCTTTTCCCACTTGTGCTTTCCTTCTAGAATGAAGAAATGTCCAGTCAAAATGAAGCACAAGTATACTGCTCTTGGTCATGAAGAAGAAGCAGAACAAGACCCAGGAGCAGAAAAACAACTACTCTTCAATTCAAGTACTACGCGGAGCACGCGCATTCTCCATGTTGGAAATTGCCGTACACTCTCCATCATTCTTGCCACCCTCTTCTTCGCCATAGGCACAATTCTCGGTGCTTTCCTAGAGCAGTATACCAAGCCCTCTTACAACAACGGCATGGGTTCCTCTGCGACCGGTTACACAACAGAAAACTTACGTACGTGCCCACAAATTCTCAAAAGACAAAAATGACAAACATTAGTTGAAACCAACATATTGCACAGTCCCACCCCAAGCCCTCACCCTCAGCATGCGGACCTTCGTCTCCGGAAACCCAATCTTCCTCCCCAACGGAACAGAAATCATCACAGTCGACCCACGGGCACCAAAATACGTCCCCAGTAGTAGTAGTGACTCACCATCACCACTCATGGACGAGAACTGGGAATATTTGTTGAAAGGTCGCTATTTCCCCATCTCCACGACCGAAGGACAAAATCTCTGGAGAGGCAAAGACGAATACAAAGCCTACTTCCGGAATAAATATCATGGAGATTGGGATATGATAGCAGGAGGGCATGTGCATACCTCCAACCTTCCCATCAAATGCTAACCATATCTTTCTCTAGTTTCGACACATTCCATTCCCTGCACTGCCTCAACGAGCTCCGAAAACGTTTCTATCCAGAATTCTATCCCCCAGATGGCTTCCACGGTCCAGTTCACGATTATCACTGTATCAACCATCTTCGGCAAGTGTTACAATGCTCCAGTGTCGCGACAATCATTCCGTCTTTGTGGCGTCCGACGGTTAAGATACAATATTCGGATGCGGCACAACCTCATGTGTGTCGGGATTTTCAAGCCATGCATAATTTTACTCGTCAGAGGTATGAGAGGTTAGGTGATGGGGCTCTGAAGGATTGGAAAGAGATTTTTTTGAGAAAGGAGAAGTAGATTTGCTTGGCCATGTATGTCATCGACGGCCTGTGAGATGAACAAGGATCGTTGATGAAGAGATGATTGATGCATACCGTCGTCGAGGTGCATGCTGGTGACTGGTGCTGGGCATTGGCTTGGCGATGTGATGATGGAGCCTCGAATTCTCTGCTCTTGATATGACGCTCCATCTGTATCTGTAGACGTACTGTGCATTGTCGGTGAAGGCTAGGAGGTAGCAACACAGAATTTGGTTCTCCTCGATTTATCCTGGATGTCAGGTGTTTTAGCTGAACCTAAAGCGGAGTCATAGACACAGCCTTTTACTAGTGATTACTAGGCAATAAGCCACCCGCAGCCCTCTGGTTTAGTGGCGTTTAGAACCACTCGGCGTAGTAACGATTTGGGTTAAGAAGGGCGCCTCTCTCGAGCCTATCGGTTAACTATCGTAGAAGCGGCAATTTAACTATTATAAAAGCGGCAATTTTGTAGTAGAAGAGACTATTATATAGACTAAGAGTTGTTATTATAGAATTGCTATAGAATTACCGCCTTCTACGACTATAGCGGAAGGCTTGCCCTCGCTAATTACTATCTCTTCGACCTCGTTATTATTATTACTTAGTACGTAGTCTACGAGTTGTTATTAACTTACTACTACTAGCAGTTAACTAGCGGTTACTATATGTCCTTACGCCTCTTAATTCTCGTCCAATTCGCTCGTTACTAGGCAAGTTATTAACGGCGTCGTCTTCTAAGTCGTCTATTATCTAGCTAGTTAGTCGCCTAGCCGCTCGTTCGTAATCCTCGTCTCTTATATAGCTTATTATCGTATCTATAGTGTCCTAGTCTACGTTACAGAAGATAAGAAGCTCTTTAAAGGACGAGAGGCCGGAATCGGTAAAGTAACGGTCGTCTATAGCAATGCCGTTAATCTCGCGAATACCGTATATAAAGACCTATAATAGCTTACCCTAATACTAGTAGTTAGTTAAATAGTAAGTACCTAGCGGCGCAGGTAGACCTCGTACTAGCGGTATTGTATCTCCTATCAAATCTACCTCTTCTATATTATCTAAATTAAGCGGTTATAAGGACTATATTTCTAGTACTATCTCGCGGCGTAGAAGGCGCGGAATTGGCCTCGAAGTAAGGTTACCTAGCGGCGGAGGTAATAAGAACACAGGTTAGCGAATAGGTAACGATTGAACGCGCCGTTTTAATAGTAACGGTCGGAGGGTTATATTAGCATAGACGTAATAAGTTTCCGGCGTGCCTAGCGGTAGCAATCGAGTTAGTATAGTAGGTTTAGAAGGTAGTTAAGTCGTCTATTAGCGCTCAGTCTCGCCTATAAATTAGACCTCCTATAGATTAGCGATAAAATAGTCAATATTTAGTGCGTAACAACTGTCCGAGAAGTCCTTAACCTTCTGTACGTAGAAGGTATAGAATGAGTCCTTAATAGAAGGGTTAATAGAAGGATTATCTACTATCCGCTAATACTTTAAATTTAGTGTTTCTACCGCTTCCTTAAAGTGGCCTCGAAGGTCTCTTAATTATAGTGTTTATACTAAGGTAACAGCGTCTTCTTAATAGCCTTCGATAACGAGTTATTAAGTATCGAGAGCGCGCTAGTATTCGTAAGCTAAGACAACGTTAAGGCCTGCAAATAGCTAGATATATTGTCGCTATTATATATTACTAATTTCCAGTCTATTAAATAGGTAGTTACGAAGAATGTAGTAGCAAGGAAGGCGTGTTTAAAACTAGGCGAGGCAGTTACAACGAGAAGGTGTTATACCGTTATAACTGTATAGTATGCCCTTGTATATAGGTGCCGCCTTAGCCTCTATCTTAATAGCAATATCTATCTATTCTCGAAGGCGATCTTAAGCCGCTAGTAGCTGCAGACTCTCGAAGCCTAGAAGTCCCTTTTTGTACTAATATTGTGTACGTTTGCCGATCCTATAGCTAGCTAGTTGTGCCTTGTAAGCCTGCCTATCGTCTACCTTAAGAACCTCGAGGATAGTGCTATAGAGGTTGTAGCGTACGAGGCTACGCTTACGCTTAAACTTGATAGCGTAGTAATAACCCTCGAGAGGCGAAGTGGTCCTTATTTGCATTAATAATAGGCTATAAAGCCTTGCCTAAGTAGCCTATTTCCGTAACGTGTAACTAGCCTAATTGTGCCGTATATATTCTACCTTGCTTTGCTAGTCTGTAGGCTTATTCTCTTTCAACTAGTCCTATATCTATACTATATCGTTACCGACGTCGGCGGAGCTTCGAGCGTAGTAGATCGAGTAGTAAAAGCGCTTAACAATCTCTAGAAATTAGGCCTCTAGAAATAAGCGAAGGAAGGTCTCTTTAACGTGCCGCTAGTAGAGGTAAATAAGCACCTGTTTCTCCTTCTAGGATAGGTTAATTGCCGCCTGCTTAGAGGCCGAGTCGTCGATTATAGCGGCTATAGCATTCTAGTATAGTAACCAATTCTTAATAACTCGAAGACCGGCTTCTACTAGCTTAGCTTTCTAAGATTCTAGCAATAAGTGTCCTACTAGCAACTAATACCCTAACTAGTTACGAACATAGATCGTACAAAGGTTCTAGCTAAGGTCGGTAGTCTTATAAGTTGCGTCTAGTAAGAATAACTATATAGTATATAAGTTAGTAATGTTTTGAATTTTTAAAGTTAGTTATAGGAACTGTAGAACGCAAGCCTTAGAAGCTTAGTTATGCGCCTTCTATAGTAATAACAACAATAATACCTATACTTACATCCCCTACCTCGGTATTTAATAACTGTCGCTACTACTTAGTCTAGAAGACAATGCTACGCTCTACCTTGCCCTTTATTTTCTTCTCTATTATCTAATACTAGAGCGGCCTGCTATCTAGGTCGTTATAGAGGCCTTAGAGGGCGATAGGAAGGTCGTCTAGCTAGATACTCGCATTTCTACGGTCGTTACTACGTACCTTCCTTAAATCAGGCCTAACCTTCGACTACGTAATAGTGCCTGCCTTTATATACTGCCTACCTATCTTGCTAAACTCGTCCTTCGAAGGACTATTTCTAACGAAATCTAGCACCTCGGCTATATTAAATTTGCGCTATTCTATTAGCTCCTCGAGAAACACCCTTAGAGCGTTGCTTAACGACCTAATATCTATGTATCTTAGGTTATAGTAATATAGGTCCTTACTAACCGTAGAAGGGTCGACTCGATAGCAGCGAACACTAATTTCGTATAGTTTAGAGGCCCCCTTCCGATAATGCGATACAACGACTACTACGGCATTATAAGGCTCTTTATTATATTTAGCCTTGCGAATACTATCTAGAAGTACCCTGTTTCGCTACTAATCGCGCCTATAACGACAATACTAGTACGACCGCTACTCTAAGCTATCCTTCGTTCTCGCCGACCTTAACTCCTTATATACGTTGCTTACGTAGGCCTTTAACACCTCGAAACGGTCCGGATCGTACGTTAATCTATGCTCTAGTATATTAAACAGCTATTCTCGAATATCGATTATATTATATAGTATACGATCCGGCCTAAACGGCGGCACTAGTTTAGACAAGATAGGTAGTATAGCGATAAGAATAATAGCAATAAGAAGGTGCTATTTGCGCTATTATAGAAAGAGCTAGATCTATATATAAGAAAGAGCTATAGAGATAAGGTTAGAACTAGAAGTATAACCGAGAAGGTTATTATAGTACTAGAAGAGGAAAAGCACCGTTAAATACTAGGCAAACTATACCGAGTCAATAGATAACGCCCTCCGGAAGTAAACCACTGTTTACAACAGTGGTACGCTAAATTTCCTGACATGCAAGACAACCTTTCTCTAGACTACCTTCGACTTTCGCTTGGCCGCCCCGCCCCGCCCCGCCCCGCCACGTCCCGCTCCAGCCCCACAAGCTGTCTCAGGCAGGCAGGCAGCTTCGCAAGCGTCATGTCCAAACAAGAGCTATTATCGCATACAACAATTCAAAATGTAGGAATAACCTCTACCCTTCCACATCTCCAAACTCGAAACCCACAACCCGACCCTATCATAGCCAAAATGGCCGACACACCACCACTGCACGCCCTCTCCGGGCAGTCAATCAGTCGCTTCATGGTCGCTTCGTTTCCAAAGGATGCTACTCCACAGCTACGAAATGCATACGACGCGATCGCTCTTGCCGCACACGCCTCCATGCTGGCAGTAGGATTTCGACTCGTAGGGCTCGGCGAGGAGCATCGAATCGAAGCGCAGTCAAGCCCAGACGAACCCGAACCGATACCGTCAGAGTGGAACGCACAGAGCGGAAGCTACGCGTTCAGATACAAGCATGGACAGAGCAGTATGGAGTTTCTGGTCAAGGTCACGAGGATGGGCAACAAAGCGAACATCGTGGGGATGGGACTTGGCGATGATCGTATACATCAATTCGAGCTCAAGGTAGATGAGTATGTGTCCGCGGGCAACCTACCACTCGAGCTATCAGAAGAGGAAGGAGGGGAGGAAGAGAAAGCGCGGAAGGTGGTAGATGCATTCATCAATGTTGGCAGACTCAGTGATTTCGGCAGCTTGATGCGCGTCAAACTCATACAGAAGCTGGCACCTTCATTGCAGAAAGAGGGGTATGAGGAGACGCGAGAAGGACAATCGACGAACACAACACGAGAGCCAGCACCTGGCCGCGAAGACAACAGACCGCAGCGTAATCCACTGCGAGAGGATCGCGACCCCGAACCGGCGCGCCCATACCCTCTTCACGACCCTCTCGCTCAGCCTGGCAGACCAAGAGCACCACTTCCGGAACCGATTCCGGGCTTTGAAGACGAATTTGAAATTCAACGACCACGTCCACCACGCGGCATGCAACCTGGCGGCTTTCCTCGCTACGGCGACCGCGATCTATATCCCCAGGGTCTAGGACCGAACGATCCACTCCGCGGTGGAGTTGGCCCAGGTCTCGGCGGCATGGGCGGTGGTGGTGGCATGCATCCGACATTCGACGACCCTCTCTTTGCAGGTCAAGGTCGGAGAGGTCCTGAATTTGATCCTCAAGCACCGCCAGGTGCTAGATTCGATCCACCATTTGGCCCTGGCCAAGGAGGACATCCTCGCGGCGCCGGCATGGGTGGTCGCCCGCCAAATCCCTTCGGAGGTTTTGGCGATGGCGACTTCATCTAAGAAAGAGATGACCGGAATGAGCACAATGACGATCACGAGGTGATGAAATTCTGCAACGACAGACGCATGCGCGCGAGTGCATAATTGGGTGGTCTTTGACGGACGGAGTGAGCGTCCACCAAAGCCGCGCATGGCACTTGTAGAAAGCCGCGAAAAGAAATAACTTACCACTCACTCACTGTAAGCCCATATCCACTGTTTCTCACTCTCAAGCTGCCACTTGTCTCCTCATCCGTCCCTCCAAAAAAAAAATATCAAAGCATTAGAACTCGGTGTGAATTTGATCACTACGAAATTGTCTTGACCTCAAAGGAGACTTCTTCTTAAACCAAACCCTCCCCCAAACGCCATCGCTAACCCAGGGTATATCTTCGTTCGAAAAATCCAAACCTCCACAAAGTAAAAAAAAAATCCCAGAACGTTATCTACTCACCCTCTTCTCCTCATCAGCAGTCACAAACGTCTGAGAACTCCACGGTCTCAGGATCCCTTCCTCATAACCACTAGCACGCCTCAACGTCGGCGTACTCTGATACTGATGTTTTTTAATCACCACCCACCTCCCACTCGCAGCATCAAACCCCATCCGCGGCGCAAAATGCATATCATGCACCTTGTCGTTCTCGTCTCCAATCCCACTCCACGAAGCCGGTCCAGACACGGATCGAATTTTAGGAGGAGGAGGAGGAGGAAGAGGCAGCAAAGAAAGCGTATGCAGACAATTCTCCGCGCCCAAAGTTCGGGGGAAATTCACTCGTTGTCTACCTCCTCCACCATCGCGCGAGTCTCGTGCGACGACAGTGGTGCCGGTATCGCAAGAGAGATTGCGAGCGTGAGGAGTGAAAACATCTTCGGGAGCTCTGATGAATGACGAATGGAGACTACTCCTCCGAGATCTCATGACAGGAATCGTACTCGTCATAGAATCTCGACCCACACTCCTCCTCCTCCTCCCCTCTTCTTGAAAAAGCCCCGAACGAGAATGCTGAGAAAAGCTCCTCGGCGTCGTCTCGACTTCCCCTAGATGCTGTGTCCCATACGACCCCGGCCCTTTCGCGCCGTTCGGCGTATGGAAAATTTTGTCCGCCCGGATCACGAGCCAGAAAGCCACGACGGAAATTTCGAGGGTGAAGTTGAAAACGTAGAAACACGGTTTGGAAAAGTACCAGGGAGGTTCTGCTTCGAGGGGGATTTGAGGGGCGAAATTGGTTATGGCGCGGAAAGTGGCTCCGGAGGCGAGGAGGAGGGCGGAGGTGATGCAGACGAAAATTTTGGTTGGGATTGTGTTTTTGAGGCCGAGACCGGCTGTCGCGTCGCCGAAGTTATCGGTGTGGGAGTTCGGTCTGGCGAGGCAGATGGAGATGAGGAGGATGGGGAAAGGGAGGAGGGACCATAAGGCGAAGAGTGCGGCACCGGTTTGCTGGATTGTTCGACCGACGAGTTGGTGGAATGGGTCCGGGAGGTAGAAAATTATGCAGACGCTGACGATGAGGCAGAGGATCATGGCGACGCTGAGGATGATGGGGAGGGGGATGAGTGCTGTGATGGGTTTTGACCAGCCGAGGCGAGGATTTTGGGCTCGCACGATGCGTACGGTCCACCAGAGGTTGGAGATGATGAGGATGATGACGCCGGCGTAGACGAAGATTTGGGCTGTCATTGCGAGGTGGATGTTCCGGGGTTGATGGGCCCAGGCGATGCGGAGGGAGGTTGCGATTGTGCGGGTGGCGCAGAAACCTGGATGAAGAAGCTCATATCAATATTCATCACTTTTTTTTCTCTTTTCGTTCCACTTACCCATCGTCGCCGCATTGAAAGGAAACAACACTCGGCGCTTGTTCTTGTTATACAGAAACAGCGAGAAGTGTAAAATTCCCAAAATCGTGAAAAGTGGCAGGAAGACCAGATTGATCCAGACATCAGGATATATCGAAGGGCTGCCTCCCAAGCCCTGATGCTGGGGAGGAAAAGGTCCAGGTCCATGTGCCGGGATCATGATGGATATCTTGACCGCGTGGAGAAGGTGTTTCTTTCAGAGAAGGTTGCTGTCCAGTCTTCACCATAGGAGTACCGTATCCCGTCTTTTTTTTCTCCTTCTCTACTCCCGAAAAAGCAATTTATTCTATCGTATGCCTCAAGGCGCGAGAGGGTGAAATGTCGAATATTCGTCCGTCGCACTCATTCCCATAGCAAAGCCAACAGCAAACAACCTCGTCACAGCATAGTAGAGAGACTGTCAAGTTTCAGGTATTCACAGCAGCAGGGCAGCCACACCTGTACATAATATAAGATCCAATACTGAGGAGACCCGTTCACGAACCACTCATGCAGATCAGCCAATCCTACTGCGCCTTGGGATCTTGGTATGCAGGAAGCTTCAAGCCTCATTTGCTCGAAATGGAAACATATTCTACATGACGACAGCCATCATTATTCTACTGTAGGAGCGGTTCGGCTGGTATCGTAGTTAATGAGCGGACCTTGGGTCATGCCAACTGTCGTACATATATCTTCCTATCGCACCCAGCAAACTTGAGATGGAGAATAAACAAATAACGGTAGTCGATGGTCGGAAGAAGAAAGTGTGCACGTCAGCGGCCGGTGGCTTTTCCAGGTAAAAGTAAAATTGGCAGAGTCGGGTTTTCAGCAAACCCCGATCATCGCATACTCTCCTACAACAAGCAAACAAAGATTGCGCAAATTGCTGTCCCGATGTGCGCAGCGCATCATAATCTCATCAGTAAATTGATTACATTCAGAAGTCCACGTCGCGTCGTCCCAAAGGATTGTCTGGTCGCGACTGACAAACGTGTTTCGTTCATCAACCAGATATTCAGAGCAAGTGGCTGGAGAACGGTCGTACGCAACGTGGTATCGATGGCACAAGGCGAAGCTTATTCTAAAATGCGTGCACGCGTTGACATCGTACCACGTTCATAGATCAGATCATATTTCGCGACTTGCCTTGCCTCTTTTTGTTAGCATCCCAACGCAGGCCGTCACATGGTCCATACATTACTGTCACATACATGAAGATCCATCTATTATTCACCCTAAAACTTATACTCACTCAAACTAGGCGGCAAATCCGCAATTTTAGTCCCCCAATCACTCTCATTCCTCCCAAGCGTAAGCACCAACTCCTTCCCCTCCGTAAAAAACGAATGATCGATCCAATTCTTCGTATAAGGCTTTCCATCCAAAGTCGCACTCTGGATATAAATCGCATTGTAGCTCGCATCGAAATTGAGATTCCTGATCGTGGCAGTTTTTTTCGTGACGGGGTTTGTGATTTTGACGCTTTCGAAGAAGGGAGGGATGATGAAGTACATGTTTTGGCCGGGGTTGGGGAAGAGGCCCATCATCGTGAAGGCAAGGAATGCGCCCATGGTGCCTGAGTCGTCGTTACCGGGGAGGCCGTCGTGGGTTGGCGAGAAGAAGGCTGGGACGTAGTAATGCGCTCGCTTTGCGCTCAGAGCCGGACGTCCGGCGTAATGATATTGGTAGACTGTAAGGAATGAAGGTTCGTTGCCGATATAAGTGATGTTCTGATCGTGAAGGTACTCGAGACGCTTTACAAACGTCTGCGGCCCGCCCAGTGCAGTAATGAGCTTGGCCATATCGTGCGGTACGTAAAAGGAGTACTCCCAGATTGAGCTTTCGTACGTCTCGCCGGCGTTATTTTGGAGCGAGCAACTCCTCGTTGGGCTGGTGTCAACATTTGAGCAATACAGAGGGTCTTGGAAACCCCAAGTCTGGTTCAGATGTCGTGGTTGGAAGAAGCCTGTAAAGCCAGTGCTTGTGGATGAGTTGAAGCGATTCGAAGTCTGGTCTGCCTTGAAGAGATTGATCCAGTTTCCTGAAACTTTCTGATACTTCTCAGCGTCAGCCTGCTTGCCCTCACCGGCTGCAATCTGCGAGATGCAGTAGTCGTTGTAGCTATATTCCAGTGTTCGTGAGATCGATCGGGTCACTATGCCGAAGCCCTTGTAGTCAAAGTCCGAGACAGGAATGTAGTTGAGAGCCTTCCAGCTGTCGAGACCTCCTCGACCTTGACAGCACCAATCTGTAGTTTGATTAGCTGGATTCTGGTGTTTCACATGTTTCGCATACTGACCATACGGTTCCTCTTCTGCGTCTTTCACCACGGCTTCGTATGCCTTCTTCCAATCAATGGTTTTTGATTTGAGCTTCACGTAGGCATCCGCTATCACAACATCTGCATTACTCCCACCCTGTGTGTAGCCCTTGCTGAGAGACATGTGGCAGTCCGGCAGCCAGCCTTGGACATCGTATAGTGTCAGGAGTCCTTGAATCATTTGCTCCATCGCTGTAGGGTCGATAACCAAGAGGAAAGGGAATTGAGATCGAAAGTGATCCCAAATACTGTTGAAGATCAGCTCGCGATTCCGTTTGGGAAGCTGTTGGATACGACGCACCAATAGAAGCTGTCAAAGTATAATGTGCTCGGACTGACGACAGATTGGACTCCGGTGTAGTTCTGTGGATTGAGAAATGTTCGATAGACGCCTATTCAACGCTGTCAGTCTTTGCAAGCCCCCAAGAAAGCACGAAAGTTACCTGAGTAGAAGTTCGTCAAGGCAGACGAATTCACACCCCCTGTCTCGACCTGGATTGCGCTCATCTTCTCCTTCCAAGCTGCGGTTGCTTTCTCCTGTGTGCCGGCGAAGTCGAAGTTTGCAATCTCAGTCTCGGCAAGTTTGCAAGCTTGTTCGCTACTGACGAAGCTGTAGGCCATCCTTACAGTCACTGGACTCTTGTCCTTGAAGCGAAGGAATGCTCCGCCTGGTAGAGGATAGCCGTTGATACTTCTGGAGATCTTCAAGTCCTTGACCGATGTGCTGCCACGACTGTCGGCGTATATGCCGCTATCTCGAATCGATCCTTGGAAGTCGGCACAGAAATATGCCACATACTTATCTTGGCCGAAAGATGGCGTGAAGCGAGCATTGCCAGTTACTCGTCCATTGTCTTCCACCGAGATACTTGCATTATCCTGGCGCGAATTTGATAGATCGGTGAGATCAATGAATACCACAGGACTGCCACTGCCGTCGCTGGGAAAGGAGAACTTGAACAGAGCCGTGTGAAATGCGGTCGTCATCTGAGCCTTGACGCCGCTCACCAATTCGAGCTCAAAGTATCCCGGGCTGGCGCGCAGAGACTCCTTCTTGTATGGAGTGGTTCGCGTTCGCTTTGGGAAGTTGCAGCCATCCACGGTGTCGTCCTTGCAGCTGGAGTATGCAAACAGCGGAAATAGTCCCAGGGACGGGGCGCCTCTAAAAGAAGATTAGTCCAAGGCATTCAGTGAGTAGTGCAAAACGATCGAATTCACATACCCGGTGCCAGAATCGTGCATTCCCGAGAAGCCAGTGATATTGGCGCCATCGGTGGTGAAGCCTCCTTGATTCGACTGGCTGTCTGTGTCGGCGACTGCCTTGGCCATGCCGTATGGCAAAGATGCGCCGGGAAAGACATTGCCTATCGATTGTCAGCCCCGTCATGTCTCCGGCAAATGGGGCGCGTGCTGACCTCCAGCGCTTGACCCAATGAGCTGGTCAACATACTGCAGAGGGTCAAGACCAGGAGCTGCTGCTGCGAGCTCGAAGGCTGCCAGGAGGATCAACAGCAGGACGTGCATTGTCGGTCAGTAAGAAGAATGACAAGCCACAAGAGGTGCAAGGGAAGAAGAAGAGATTGGAAGACGAAGTAGTCGAAGCTTTCTAGGAGGCCATGTTAAGATTGTCAAGAGGGAGGGGTACTTATTTAAACGCAAGTAGCAGCTATTCTAGTGTAGCAACGATGACCCTAGGTGCCGACCCACGTTCATGGTACGGGACGGTACGCAGCGTGCTTGAGCCTCCGTGCTTGAGTGGAGGACACAGGGATTGTCTTTGCTTCTTACACGACTGACTGCCGGTACATGTCGCGTCGCCGAGCATTTTGCTTCGCTCGACCGAAGAGGTGCGGTCGGTGACACGCATAGAATTATGGAAAGAAGACAATCGTGGTGCTGATCGAAGTAAGCCCGACGTGTGCGTGCATGCGTGCCTGGGTGAAGTGTGAAGATGCAGGCATGACCAGTGGTGCTGGGAAATGAGGGAAGGACGAGTTGGATGGAGCAGGCACAGTCTCAGGCACCTGCCAGGCGAGTGCGCCATTTTCGTTCCCTATCGTCTCTTTCTGGCCAGATACGGTTATCGCCGGAAGTATCTAAAATTAGATATAGCAAGGGATATCTAGATCGTATAGTCGGAAGTTAGACTGTCTTAGTAATATCTAGCGACTTGTAGCTAGCACGTAAGCTAGTATAGTATAGGCAAATATATAAGTATAGATTACTACTTTAGTATTAGGCAAAGGCCTCTTTCTTACTATTTGTTAAAGGATATTTTAGAAATATAGAAAACGACTTCTATATAGGGTCTTAGATCTTAAAGGCTATAGATACGACTTCCTATACTATATTATATAGTATTATATAGAAAGGCGAGAAACTCGTATATTCTTTAGGTCTACGTATTTCTAGTAGTACTTAGACTAGATAGACGATAAGGCTTCTACTAGAGTATACGCTTTGCCTAAGTATAGCTTATTAAGTTATTTAAGCTATTATTAGATATAGAAATGCTACGTTTCCGCCTTTTAAGCTATAAAGTAGAGCTATAGTAAGCGCTATATATAGTCTATTAAAGAATAGCTACTACGTTTCCGCTCTTTAAGTTATAAAGTAGAGCCGTAGTAAGCGCTATATATAGTCTATTAAAGAATAGCCTATCCGGATAGATAGTACTACTAAGTAACTCGATTTTCCGCTTTTTAAAAGAGTTAGCCTCTCGCTCTAGGTCTATTATACTATTAAACTATCGCTTAGATTGCTTTATATCCTTCTTAGTAAGATTAGTAATATTATTAGAGGCTATAGTATACTCGCTAATTAGATTCCTCTTAGTAATACTAGCCTATCGCGAGGGACGATTAGTAGTTAGGCAATAGTATAGTATTAGGGTAAGTATCTACGGTTCTACGGAAAGTATATACCGGGCTTGGCTAGCGTACCGTCCCTGCCGTAATAGTACCCCCGTCCGACAGAACGAAGGCTAGCGTACTATATTAGCTAAACCCCTTCTTATATACTCCTTCCGCTTTTGCTCGTTTTCCTTACTGCTCGTATTTGTATTATACGTTCGTATTATGCGTTCTTAGTATATTCTCCTCTCCTTAGTCTAAGTCTACTAGTTTAGCGCGCGTCTTCTTAGTAGCCGACTTTAGCGTAGCCTTAGTGTCGGAGCTAGTTATAAAGTTTGCGTATTAGCGTCGTCTCTTTTAGTTAGATGTCTCGCCGGTGCTAGTACTAGCTCGCTTGCGCTTTGTTCCGCTGCTCTTATCTTATATCTTACGTACGCCGACGTACTAGACTTGCTTTAGCGTTTCGGGTACGGGTATCGAGGCGGGTGCCGAGGCTAGTAGGGATAAGGCGCGATCGAAGGGTTAGCGCTTCTAGTTCTTATCCTTGCCTTTTAGTAGGAGGAAGGCCTTACCTTTGCCCTTAGAGGCTAGGGTAAGGGTACCGGCGTCGGCGGCGCCGTACCGCGACTTAGTCTTACGCTTCTCCGATAGTTGCGGCGTAGCTAGCGCTTCTTCGTTAGTAGCTACGGTGCTAACGAGCGTCTTAGACTTAATAGCTATAGCGAGCTCGTCCGGTAGGTAGAGGTATAGGTCGGCGCGTTACTCGTCGGTAAGCGACTAGTATCGTCCTATAATACCTATACGCCCTAGTCTGCGGCACAACTTTACCGGATCTGCGTCCTCCGTAGCGTAATCGTACTTAATGTCTTTTAGTAGTAGGCCCTTCTTATTGCGGATAGCAACCCAATTGCGGTCTACGCTCGGTATACGGCCTAATTGTAGCTAGAGATATACTATACGTAGGAAATAGTCGAGCGCGATATCCGTTAGTATACCGTCTTCGTTAGTCGTATTATAGGCCTGTATATTTATAAGGGCGTAGTCTAGGATTGCCTTAACATCGATCTCTGTTAGCTACTTTACTATAGCGGCCTTAAAGGTAAGGTAGGACGGGGAAATAATTTAGAGCCACTTCTTATATAGGTCGTAGTTTAAGTCCTTATAGTACTTCCGCTAGCGCGCCTGCTATTAGCGTAAAGAGGTAACTAGCTCGGTTTCGCCCTCGATATCTAGCGGCATTACGGTCGTAATTATCGCCTAGTTACTTACGTTATCGATATGCGTCTAGGTAACCTAATCTAGGGCCTTATAGCGGAAGGTGCCGCTGCCTATAAGTATAGTACGATAGGTAATAGCGGTAATCTTGTGCGTTCCGTTAGGATGCTACTTATAGTATAGGTACGGCGGGCTAATTAGCTTACGCTTAGAGCGCGGATATCCCTATACCTCGACGGAGCACGTATACTACTTTCCGAGATCCTTTAAGCCGATAGTAGTATCGTCGACCTTGCGGTATATTATTCCGAGTTTAAAGTCGGACAAGCGGGTACCTATTAGTAGTATATAGTCTATTATCTCAAATCCTAGCGCGTTATATATTAGTACTACTATATTAGCTTAATACTACGACTCTAACTAGTCTTCTATACCGGTATACTATATGCTAGAGCGCTAGAAGTTCTTGTCCTTATCTATATTAACTACTCTACGGCGTACCTTCTTCTTGTCTACTACTCCGTCTTCCTAATCGTCGTCCTTGTCTGCCTTACTCTTATCCTTCTTAGCTGCTCTAGCCGCTCTACGGCGCTGCTTGTTCTCCTCTACGTCCCTTAAGGCATCCTCCTTATCGTCGTCCTCCTCTTATCCTTTAGGTATATTTATCTCGTCGTCGATAGCAGATCCGTCGCTAGCGTTATCGACGTAGTCCTCGGCTTATATAAGGTTCTAAACGTTAGCGTCCTTAGTATCGGCTTGTATAGCGTCCTAATTGTCCTCGGTATCGTTAGTAGGCTTATTATAGACAGTAGGATCGGCGTCGTCGGTAGGCTCGGTATAATCGGTAGGCTCGTCTAATATCTCGTTTTTATAGTCGGCGGCTAGGGGGTTAGCGTCGTGCTCTGCTACCGTACGCGTCTATAGTAGCGTATAGAGTAATAGGGTCGGTCCTAAGACTAGCGGGCCTCTATAGTATCCCTAGACGCAGTCGAATATAGCTTAGAGCCTACTACGCAGGTCTGTACTAGGTGCCGGAGTAGGGTAAAAGTCGCTAATAAATTCTTTAAAGTACTCGTTTATATAAGCAGTCTTATATGCCGAGCTAAGGAATTAGTATTCGTATACTAGTTAGAGCGTAATTTGTCCTATACGGGCTAACTTGTCTATTATTATAACACGCTCGATAATGTTGTTATCCTCCTTTATAGCGACCTTAACGGCGTTTACCGTCGTTATATAGGAGAGGGCGGCGGTACGCTAGCGGGCGCCTAATGCCTTTATAGCGTCTCGAATATCTCTATTTATATCGACGCCGTCTAGGATCGGGTATTACGGTCGCTCGCCGTTATTCTAATCGCTGTACTATAAGTCGTCGCTATCGTTAGCGTTTTAGCGTGCTAGAGAGTCGCCGTCGTCGTAAGCGTCGTCGCGTACTAGAGAGTCGTCGCCGCTATTAGGGTTCTCGCGTACTAGGGAGTTATAGTCGATAGGGGCTAGGGCATCGTTATACTCGGTCTCTTCGTCGTACGTTTATACGAGCGTTTCCGCCTTAGGGTCGTTCGCTACGACGTACTATCCTAGATTGTACTCGTTATTAAAGTAGGTAGTTTCTATTACGCGAATCCTCGCCTCTAACCTACCTTTCGAGGTTAGGATAAACGCGTCGCCTACTTCGGTAAGGCTTATACCGACGTTGGCTTCTAGTAACTCCTACGCGAACTTAGCGTCTAGTACAGTCTTTATGTTTAGGAACGCGATAGAGACAGCCTCGGTTAGCTATACTACCGTTATAGGCTCTATTACGTAGACTAAAATTGCCTCTATTGCTACCTCCTAGAGCTCTTTATTGCGTTCTTATACCTCTATAGGGTCCTGTATCTTAGTGTCCTGTCCTAGAGCCTTGCCTACTACTACGGTCGACAATATAGCGACTAGACCTGTCTCCTCCTTATAGTCGGCGTCCTTAGGTATATCCTTTAGCGACTTGTTAGTAGCGGCGTCCTCTGCGTTGCCGACGTTCTTTAGTAGTCGTAGCTACTCGGTAGTCTTTTGCGGTTGCCGCTCGTTAATAGTCTTTAGCTAGTATACGCGATCTCGTAATAGCTTAGCATCCGCCTAGGGAAGCTCGCCTACCGCCTTTTTATATACTACTTAGCCGTATAAGGTAAGCACCTATTCGCCGTCTACTATAATTACTATACTATTCTCGTCTTCTGCCTACCTACCGAGCTCCTTATCGACGGAACGCGCTATTATCGTATGTCTAAGGAGGATCTAGACGTCCTTATAGATAGCGTCGAGCGTTATCTTTCGTAAGAAAACATTCGCGAGTACCGCCTAGATTAACGTCGGCTAGTACTTCCGTAGGGAGTCCTTAAGGTAACGGCCCTTAGGTAGCGGTAGATTAGCTTCGGTATTCGCTATAACGTCCTGCTTCTTAGTGTCCTTTATTAGGAT